GGTATTGACTATGGCCAGTACTTACGCGGCTTGGAACCGTAGTTACAATAGTAACTGTGACCGGTGCCTAAAGTGTCAGCCAAACGGCTGCACACTAGATAATACAATATTGGGAGGATGAAATCCTCTTTAATGGCCACACATGCAGAGCACAATGCACACACAGTGAAGATTGTTCTCTGCATATCGTCCTAGTGCTAGGAGTCTAGTAGGCCTACTAGGAGCAGTAAATATAACGATATAGCGCTACTGCAACCATACCATGCGTTTACCGGGAGCGGGAGCGAGAGCACTGCCCTCACCGGCTGAGTTAAATAATGAAGCTTAACAGTACATGCAAGGTGTTAGCCAAGCGGCTGCTGCTAACAATCAAGCAACCAAGCCAGAACACAATGTTAAGACCAGATAATTAGCTTCTAAGGAAGAGAACAGCCCGCATAGAACCGTAGGCCATGGTTACAGTAGTAACCGCACATGCAGAGCACCCGCAGTGAAGATGTTCTCTGCATATCATCCTAGTGCTAGGAGTCTAGTACTAGGAGCAGTAATACAACGATATAGCGCAACTGCAATCAAACCCTATGTTACCGGGAGCGGGAGAACTGCCCTCACCGGCTGAGTTAAATACACTCTGGGCTTTCCATACTAAATTGAATGAGGGACGCAGCCAAAGCTGGGACTCAAATGTTAATGATAGCTCGGGCACAACGCCACAAGCAGAACTTTCAAAAGGGTAACTTTATGGGAGAGGAAGCGGGAACACTGTCGTCACCAGAAAGTCTAAGCCAAACAAACAATAAGACGGCAATCAGGACAACTTGGCTGGGAGAGGGTGCGGGGACACAGCCATCACCAGCAACAAGCTGACACAAATCTGTCAGTCGAGGCTCTGCACAGCGCACATCCGGCCACAGCTCCTGGAGGACGCGTTTACAGTCGCGAAGCTGCACGCGGCCAGCTGCCTGCAGAGAAATCCCTCAGATCAAACGTTCAAACCTGAACGCTGTTGCTACAAAAATGTAGCCACGGTACTCTTGCGCAGCGAGAAGATGAAAGGAACAGATCCTCTGACGACACCGGCTGATATAGCCGGTGTCACGTGGGTCACAGGTGACTTTGTTGTTATTGGTACTCGAGCTGCGCATGCGCGCGATGGACATATCCAGTGCTTAAAGCACCGCCTCTGGCGGTCAGTAGGGACAAAATAGAACCTGAATGTCAGGCCAAAACAAATATATATTCCTTTACTTTAAAATGTATTGTAACATTTTTTATCCAATTTTTTTTTTTTATCCCCACCTTTAAAAAAAGTACCAGTTTTTTTTTTGTATGCAACTGTAAGAGATTACCGTCACCTTTTTGTATAATCATAAAACATTTTATTTATCAAGCGCTCTATCAGGTACTCAAAGACGCTTTGGGCAGGGGTAGTCTAATTCAAATCTAGCAATAAAACCATAAATATCACAAGGATACGGCATAAACCACACATTCAAAGCACGTCTAAAAAGGTGAGTGTTGGTCAGTGTTTTGAAGATGGGTTAAAGTCAGTATCCTGATTACTTACTCCCTTAACCTGCCTGTCAAGAAACCTAGTTGCTGTTTTGAATGCAACCAGCCTATGGTGCACTTTGACAGTTTCTCCTGTCTGCTGTTGTTTGAAAAATCCGTCAGAGTGAGACCTCTTCGTTTCCTCTGATCTCCGCTCGTGCCCACACGCATCCTGACGTTCCCCGCGAATTTTATCCACGCTGCTCCTCCAAAATCCACTCATTTTCCACACCTACCTGACATGCGGCATTTACGGGGAGAAAAGACAAAAAAAAAACGTGTTTCTCTACGATGTGGATTCGTACATTTGTTGGTCTTTTGAACCGAACTGGTTTTACACCGGGACAACTTCCTTCTAAGGACGCAGAGACGGAAACAGACAACAATAGATTATAAAACAGTCTGCTGCAGTTCAGCTGCAAGGCGAGGGGCTGGAGACGAGGTGGATTTTTTTTTAATTTTCTCGATTTCAACACGTTCCCGGTAATATTTATACAGAATGCAGTTTTATTAGTGACTTATTGGTAATCTACTTCTTATACCGTGTCTTAATTCTGCCGACAATGCTATACAAATCATGTTTGCGTTCTGATACTTAACAAACGTTTTGTTTATGGTGCTTTACACGTGTAATATAATATATGGATGTCTGCAATGCTGATTGTTTCCTACCGATCGTGCATTTTAGTCATCGTTTGGCTCATTTACAGTAGGCGGACGTATTTTAATGTCCACATTTGAACATTGATAACGTCACAATCTTTTTCGTGGTGTTTTAAGCCGTGCATGTGCCGCCCAGGAAATCCACGGAGAGCCCCGCCATATGTCATTTTCATGGAGGTCATCTCAGGAGAGCAGCGGGTGGAGGAAATGAGGGAAAGGTACAAAAGGTGTTTTTTTTCTTTCCTTGGGTGGGGTTTTTGTCTCGGTTTTATTGCGGCCACGTTTCTGCACGCACGCCATTTTTTCCCCCGTGCGCTTTTACGCACAGCGACACTGTCTGAAAGTGGAGCGAAGAGGACAAAAGAGGAGGCAAAGATCACCGGGGGCCATGCGCTGGTTGAGGTAGTAGTTTGTGCTGTTGGTCGGGTTGTTATATTACCCCTTGTGGAGATGACTGCGCAATCTACTGCCTTGCTGGCGCTGGTGACTAACGACAGAGAACCGGATCAACGCGAATCACTTGGACCAATGTGTTGTTTTGTAAACAGAATAAACTGAAGAGAGACTTGTATACCTTCTTAATGATCACGTCTCATGTGAAACTGTGCTACAGAACGTGTGAACTTGGATAATGAAAGCTATGCTTAAATATGTGTGGATTGACATGCATGTTAAAATGTTCAAATAAAGTGATTTTTATGGTATGCATCACGTGGGTTTGATCTTTTTGTCCAACTTAAAAAAAGAGAAGAAGAATATATTATCCAACTCAATTCAGTGTTTCCAAAAGTCAAAGGAAGTGGTATTAGTTTTTTTTTTTTATCCAGTCTTCTTTTGGAATGTATCATCAATCTGACTACTTAATTATCCCTTGGGGAAATTAAGTTTTTCACAGTTGCATAAGAATACATTAAATATAACTCGAGTCATAATGTGCAAGAAAATATGCTTTTAAACTCTTTTATTTTTGATTTGGCCGGCAAGGCAAGTTTATTTATATAGCACCTTTCAACACAAGGCAATTCAAAGTGCTTTACAAAAATGAAAGGCATTAAGAAAATGGCATTTAAAAATAGTCACTAGTATAACAATTTATAGAATCCAAGCACTGAATGAAAATTATTAGACTTTTAAATATGTTAGAGGGAAGAGTACAGGAAGTTAGGATCTGACCCAACATCCTTTGCACAGCAGACTTATGAGCAAGAGGGTCAAAGCTCTATAGGCCATGTTAGAATGAAGTAGTATGTCACAATAGTATGCATACTTCATGCCAAAGTACATAGTGGCAGCTGCACCTACTAAAATAAATGATGCTATATTTGAAAGTCACAAGTTATCCAATCATTTCGAAGACTTACAGATAACAGAAATAGACATTTTGCTAATTATGCAATTTGGTTTTAACTTTGTGTATATTATCAATATTGTCCCGTCACTTATAAGCTTAACTAATTTGTAGAGGCACATGGCTTTGGAAGAAGGAACTTATCACAGGTTATAGCAAATAAAATAAATTATTTGAATTGTACTAGTTATTACTAGTACCATGCAACCCAACGGAGACATTCATGTTTCTCTTTGTTTTTCTTCTGGGATTAATTTAGATGCGATCCAGGAAATCCATTTGGGATAATGGCTTTACCCGGATTAACCTCATCATTAAAGATTGCGTCAATATTATTGTGTACATTTAGAGAGTCTGCATTATCGACCATGTTCTGTCAGTGAGCACTCTAGTTCCATTAATGAATCCATGTGCCAGTCAATCACAAAGTCTACCCAGTCTTTTGAAGGCCCGTTGACCCCATTTGTCATTGTTTTCCACAATGAGAACCCAGTGAATAGAAACAACAACAATATTGATTAGCTCTTCTGCACTTATCTTTGTTTCTCACTCTTTCAGATTGATTTGGTCTTCTAAACTAATTTGGACAGCAAACAAAAAAAACTTTAATCAACGACACAAACTACACTTCATACATTTTTCTTTAACATTTATTTATTTTTTGAAAAAGAAACACTGAAGGTAAACATTGTTTTTGCACAAAGGAAACATTAAAAATATTTTTTTTTTACTTCATAAGTAATCTTTTTGTTACAAAATGTACATTTCACATTCACAAACGAGGTTGAGGGTAGCACAACGTTCACTTAAAATGATCCCTTACTGACCTTCAAACATCGTCTTTGCTACAGATTAAACCTTCCAGCCCTGCAAAATTTCCTTTTACAAATCTTTTTATAGTCTAATGAAGGAAGAAAGAAACAACAGCAGTGACTATTTTACACAGTACAGCAACTTCAAAGCAGGAAACCTTCAATAGGGCTGAACAAAGTAATAAGGGCTAACTCATCAATGGATTCACAAATGTAGTGGCACCAATAATGCGCCCTGGTGGACTCCCCATCTTTAGAAAGTCCCTCTGTGCGTCCTTTCCACTTATACTACGCATGATAATTGAACCTGAGTTGATGTGCAGCAGTTGGGTGGCACAGCAGGATGACAAAAATAAAATTATTTGACATTCATCTAAGAGAAAAAGGCTTAATGACCGCTATATGGATAAACATTCAACACATATATTCTGATGCCACATTAAGACATTATCGTAACATGTTTTCAGTTCAAAACATTCAATCTGGTTGTTTGAAACCACATCTGTTGAACTGGGACACGTGCTAAAACAATAAGGTGGCAGCATCAAAGATTTAACGAAAGTAAACGAAGTAAGAAGAAACACATTCAATAAATTAGAGGTCAAGATTTGTTTTAAACTATGTATCGCTTCATGTTATTACAGATGCAACAGAAAATCATGATGTATTACAAACAGCTTTTTTTAAATAAAATATTTCTTTCATGGAATGTACAGGAGAAAAAATGCTCCATATCACTTATAGAAAGCAAATACAAATGACAGCTGCTTAGAGGAATGTCGATAACTATCAACTAGAAAAAAAGTCCAAGCTAAAATGATAAGAAGCCCATGCTACACATTGGCACATATCATGTGAAGTAGAATTTCATTTTACATTCTTGGAAAAAACAAGGAAGTGTAAGGGCCCTATCCAACAGCAAATTAGCATATAGCTAAGTGCTACTGTGAGTACAACCCAGTTGTCTTTTCACGCACAGGGACAATTATCGAAGTTGCAAATGTACTTGTGCCCATCTGTTTGCCAATGGCCACCTAAGGTGCAGTCAGACGCATTGCCATTTTGAAGCGATGGCACAAACATCAAGTTGGTCTTAGGTTAATGGCACAATATTCACCTCTATTTAAAGGGCATATGAGATTGGTCTTATTCATGTTTAGGCCAAAACACACCTTTTTGATTGAATAAGAAACTTAAGAAACTAAAAACACCCAATTAGCTCCTTGCTTCATACTTTGCACTGAGATTATGCGCTGTTTAACTAGCACAACGAGTTTGACACGCTCTAAATGCACTTGCGCTTTCGATTGTTTAAATAGGGCCCAATATCCCAAATATTAAATTCCTCATTCTTTCAAATTCCAAATTAACTTTTTTGGATTCAGTCAATCGCTCGTATGCCCCGTTTTATGAAAAAATAGACATATTCTCACTTTACTGTCAAGACTAGTAAGTAAACCAGTGCTACTCCAAAACTCTAAATATCCTCTATTGAGGGGAAATAAATCATAAAATTCATGATTTTGTCTGTCAAGGACTTAAAAACATGCGGTTTGTTTTAATATTATGCAGTCGATTGTTCCCCGACTGGAATGAAACTTTTCAGAAATGATGACCACTTTATATCAATCCTCTGAAGTTTCTTCTTCCCCCAGACTACTTCTCCTAAACTACATCTCAACCCAGAGAGGCTGGAAGAGGAGTGTAGCTCGTATGAACGCAGAATAATAATGTAGGGAAGGAAAACATACACATGCACATCAGTTTTTGAGGACGTGGCACTATTTCCAGACAGCTGAACTCTCCATGGTCCTCATTTTTTTTCCCCTCAAGTCTAATCAACAAGAGGTTTTCTGTCTGTCTATTTGCATTTTAGTTTCCTTAATTCCCTTCCTTCCCATTGACTTATACCCTAAGCTCTTATGCTACATGTCTCGGACGTCAAAAACTTGAAAGAAACAACATCCTTCAAATATATGCATGGTCTTTGCACATTTACGAACCAAAAACATTATCACTAACATTACAGAAATACAAATTCAGTCGGTATAAAAACAAACAGCAGTGTAAACCATTGCACCATCGCTCATATTCCCAGGCCTATAATATGTCACTGCATGCACTGTCACAGTAAATCCCTACATCCAATCTTGCGTCACCCCCGCCCCCCCCATGTCCCTCTGAAGACTAATGGGATCTGTATCAAGCATCTAAAGCTTTATAAACATGCAACATGTCAAAGCAAAAGATAACTTTGTTTTTGTCCTCTGTCAAACTGCTTTTCCCATTGACTCTGATTGTGTTTGATATCAATTATGAATGAATTAAATCCTCCCTGTTGCAGGGAATATTTCACGGCTGCTTGGTTAATGATGTGGGTCAGCCTAAAGTGCAATCATACTGATGTACAAGTCCTTATCTAATGTCACTTTCACACAAAACAATGTCACAAAACAACCTTGATTTCCATCAATTCCACATTTGTCAGTGTACAGTAGGGCTGGGCGATATGGCCAAATTGCGATAATAATATAAATATCACAACATTGAATGTTTCGTAATGACAAAATAATAAAGCCTGTTATTTTTAGAATGCTTTGCCAATGAAATACTGACAAATAAAGTATTAAGTCAACAATTAAAATAAGTTCTAAATTGAATTAAAGAAAAGAAAAGATACGCCTACCCTATTGAAACGAGGTATACAAATATATACATGAGACATCTTTATGTAAGGGATAATTAATGAAAAAAGAAAAATGACCAACCGGGTGATCATGAAGCCCGACGTGAAGTGGAACCTCTGAAATGACCAATCAGAATAGAGTATTCTACTAAGCAATGTGATAAATGGTCATATTGCCCATCCCCTGAGTTATGGAATGGGTTGACATTCTGGAAAGTAACTTATGCGCTTTCTTGCCGAGTTAGATGAGATCACTGATACCACTTTCTTTCAGAGTGGTACAGTATCACTGATCTCATCTTACACTCAGCAAATTAGTATTTTTCTTAAGAGTTGATGTATGGATATTTCATGAACTGACATGGTTTTTTAGTAACATTGTTGCATTTTCAAAACTAACCTTAAAATGACTTGTGTCAAACTGTTGATCCATACAGGCTAGAGACATCACCGCCCCCCCCCCCCAACTTCCAATGTGACCGAAGATTTCCTGCCTCTGTGGACGATTGGCAACGCTCTGATGGAAACAGCGACGCCGCTTTGCAAAAATCCCATCACTGCCCGTGATCTGAAAAGCAATCTAGAAGCAGCTCATCAGGTGTGAATCCTTCTCAGCCACACTGTGGCGAAACAGAAACGTAGCTGACCCTGCAGCTCGGTCCATGGTCGCGACAAGGAGGTTTCTTTTTCTTTATAAGTTGACTGTACAGAAGAGGACTAAAAGAGAAGGAAGAAGAGGGGCCATGTACAGCACTGCGAGAGGTAAGAAGAACAGAAAGCAAATAGGTATTTTCTTCCCTTTGGAAGAGCGTTCGTCCTCTTGGCTTTCACATCTCTGCAGAAGGTCAGTGGCAGTCACGAGGTTTCCTGCATTACTTTTGTCGACTCAAATCAATTAGAATGTGTCTAAATGCACTTGTATTTTAGACTTTTGAGCGAACCTGAGCAGCCAAGTTGTGTGCCCGACCAATGATCTTCTACATTGATATGAAACACCAACACACATAAATATCCTGATTTTAGGATATCCTTCCTCCAAAGAATAAAATAAGTGTTCAAATGGCACTGAGGAAACAGAACAGGGCAGTTAAAATCACCCTGTTGCTTTAAGAGCCCCTCGGCGAGGCTCCTCATGGCTGATGGTTGCCGTACATCAGCGGGATGATGAAGGCCGAAATGTCGTCCCCGGAGCCGAGGCGCTCGTTGGTGATCCTCCAGCCTCGGTCCCTCAGCACCCCCCGCGCTCGCATCACCAGGTCCTGTGCTGCCATTGTATACCTGGAGAGAAAATAACAAAAGGCTGTAATCCACAGCATAAACTGTAGGGCCCTAACACTGAATTGTGATTTAAACAATTATTTATACCAGCAAATATAACACGACGCAAATAGTTGACAACTGATGAAGGTTTACAAAATGAAATCAACAAAGCCTTTCAAGAAAGAGAGGTAAAAAAATAAGAAGAATTTATAAAATGGCAAACTGAGACCTGTGGAGGTCATCGGGGGCACAGTTGGCGAGGAATGTGGTGACGGATTCGGCTACTTCCTGGTTGGAGAGGACGTCCCAGAGGCCGTCGGTTGCCATCACCAGAACATCATCGGCCCCGTGTTCACACTGCGCCAGGTCGTACACCTTAACCTGCACGCACACAGAACATTGAGTTATGGTAAAACCCTCAAACTGATGTAGCGAGTGAGTGAGAGACTCTATACTGCCCAATCCATATTCCCTATCATAATAAATTCAACGAAGGCTTCATTATCTGAGAGCATCTGGAGAAGTTTCTTAAGAGACTCTGGTGAGGGTCGAGGGTCGTGTTTGGAAGAGAGAATAAAAGAGATGCAGACATAGTGCTGGGAGTTCAGACTTCTGAGCGAACCTGGTATGAACTCAGGTTTTTAATGAATTAAAGATCAAGCGTAGAGCTCTGGGAGGGGAAATGCAAAACACTATAAGACCAAGTACACCAGGAGATGAAAGAGCTTTTGAAGGCGGCAGACAGGTGAGCTGAAGTTCTGCTGCAGCAGAGGACCTTTTGGTACAGATATCACAGATGCAGTGTGGGTCATGTGACAGGCTTATCTTTTTATATAGGCCATAAATTAGACAAAACAAGGTCAGGAAGGGGCTGCCAGGGTGACTGGAGGTAAGAGAAACATTTACAACTAATTAGAGGCGTTCATAAGTTGGATGATTAAGACTGTAACAGTATACCCGCTACAGGAAACAACCACAGTCTGAGTGAAATGAGTTAGAAAAGTTTTGTGAATAGTAAAGGAAATACTATTCCCCGAAATTAGTTAATCCTTCATGTCAGCTGGCTGCAGAGGTGTGTACAGAAGGTGTGTGATTAGGCGCGTTCACACCGGAGTACTTTTCCCCGTACTTTTCCCGTTTAGTTCCGTTAGTACCCCTTATGTCGCGTTCACACCAAAAAGAGTACTTAGTGCCGGGAACTTTTACCCCCATTTTTAGTACCTGCTGAGAGGTGGTACCAAAAAAGTAGCAATTTCGATTGGCTGGGCGAATTGCAAACCACGCCCCGTAAAAATTTTTTTAAAGCCGCCATTGTATTTGCTGGCATTAGCATTATTAGCATTAGCCCCGCGCACCAACGGAGAGAGAATAACTTATGGCAACACAAAAAAAAATATGGGAGCGGTGGAGATGAGGAGGTGTCGGAGTTCTGGCGATTGGCTCGGAAGGCTTCAGTAGAAGCTGCTGGGAGTCCCAGCAGCTTCTACTGAAGCCAGTCCCCAACTCCGGGGACTTCGGGTGGCAGTATACGCTGTGAGGTTGTTTGCGGCCTGCCAGTAAACCCAAAGAAGACGAAGTGACGTCAGCGGCTCGTTTGCGTAATCTTCCCTCAGGGAAAAGTACTCCGGTGTGAACACGATTGGTACTTAGTGCCCTGGGGTACTTAGTGCCGGGGCACTAAGTACGGCAAAGTACTTGGTGTGAAAGCGGTTATTGACAGCTGGCAGGCTGCTATAGGGAATAAGTAAACAAACTGGCTCTGTAGCTACAGTCCATGTGTTGTTATTGTTGTTGTTGGTAGTGAAAAATAAGGACCACACTAGAATCTAACTGGACGTAAAGTGACATTCTCAGAGCACGTTTGACTGGCGTCTCTTACCTCAGGACAACAGGACATGAAGGGTTTGATGTAGATGTTGGAGTCATGAACCTTGAGGTCATGGTCCCCGAGCCCGCGGGTCACACCGATGGTAGCCAGCACTCGAGCCTGCAAGACATAAAGTGGTTCACTTCAGGTTTCTAATAAACGTTTCTGCTTTTCATCCTGTCAGAATGCGGTTGTCAGGGAGTCATTAATGAACATATGGATGTTCCCATATTGAGTGACAGTGACAGCATGGCAGTGTTACTCTGTTTCCTCCCAGTCAGAATATTCCCCATATGTTGGTGAAGGAGCTGGGGATTGCTGAATCAGGAAAACTGCTCCATAAATGGTGGTGTAGCTGAAACTCAAAGAAATGTTACTATTCTTTGTTAATTACCACATTTATTTCCCAGTCTTCCAATCTTTTAGTTCGCTCTTTAAACTTGTTAAGTCCGTTCTTTAAGTTCATCAGCTTTCCTTCAGAAAACATGGCGCTGTGAGGTTGTTGGATGCTGTTTGCCTTTCTGATGAACACACATGCTACGTCTCTTTGATGAAACGAAATTGATCGAAAATATGATACAAACTACAAAAAATGCGCGTTTCGTAGTGTTCTCTTTTTCGTCTTCTTCTCATCTCATCCCAGTGGCGATTAACTGACTGTCGTCTCCCCAGTGGTGTGTGTCCGTACGAATGTCTGTGTGTCTGTGTGTGAGATGTAGCAACTGGAGTGGAACAGATGGACTGTCTCCTCTCTCTTTTTGTGAGAGTGCACGTTGACACAGACTCAGTGTGGTACTCGCACATCAGAGACCGAGTGTTCAACCACTCTGTGGGAGGCTGGCAGGCATTGTGTGTGTGTGTGTGTGTGTGTGTGTGTGTGTGTGTGTGTGTGTGTGTGTGTGTGTGTGTGTGTGTGTGTGTGTGTGTGTGTGTGTGTGTGTGTGTGTGAAATTAACAATGTTGGAGCATGTGATTTTTTCTTTTCATTTCTGCAGTTCTAAAATTGGAGAGCAGATGTACAGACCTTGTAGACGGACAGACTCTTACCTTTTTCCCTTCACCATAAATCAGTGGGAACTTGAGATCTTCCTCCTCTATGGTCTTGTATGCCCTGTGTTTGAGAAAAGACAATTATATCACATTATTTTCATTGTCTTACCGTCAGTACAAGATTGGCGCTAATTTAATTAAAGATTGATTCAAATATTTTTTTAATTATGTTCAAATTTGACAAGCTCCCAAAGATCGAAAAATTCCCTCTGGAGGGAACGTTGGGATTTTAGACTTTTGCTGACCAGAAAAAGCAAAATGGGCACCCTTTCTTTCAATGCTCACATTTTAAGAAATCTTTAAGACTTTGGTTTTTCTCCAAATCAAACTGAGAACCATGATGACATCACTATGTTTTTTCCTATTTGTTACATTCATGTCCGACTGATTAAACAGTTTGCACAGGCTAAGATAATTTAAAGGACCTAGATGTGAACATATGGTGGAATACCCCTTTAATGCTCTAAACCTTTTACATTTTTAAGGTTTCATGTTCCATTTAGCACGAAACAAACATTCATTTCCTTTTTTCCCACCATTTGTGCTGGCTCTCGCTCAGCCCCTGTTAGTAAACACACTGTAGGCCGGAAACATCTGCCCTCCTTCTGCTAGCCTTTGACTCGGTCTCATTGCTGCCTCTCCAGAGGGCGATAACAATAAGTGTTTTCGCTGCTAAAACATTTAGCAAGAGAAAGTGAGGGGGAGGGGATCTTAGAGTACACAAGCAAACAACACCAAAAATAAATTAGAAGTGCGCAAATGGAAGCAGAAGATCTGGAAACGCACTGCTTTGATGTCAGACTGAACATCTTCATAGGAGATGATGTATTAAACAGGATCCATTAGACTTAGCGTCAGTCAGTGGAGAACATCGGAAACTTCAAACGGCTTCACGTCTGACCAGAGTTTACCCCATCTGTTAGTGCGCATCACTTGTCTTCCTCAAAACATTTGATTAGATTAGATTTATGCAGCTCCCCGATTATTCCCTGGTCTCGGCTCCTTAAATGGGAGGATTTAAGACTAACTTTTCAATAAATAAGCATCCACCAAAAAGCACATTTAAGGGCAACAAATGTCAGATTCTAGCTTCTCAAAGGGGATTGATTTCTGGTTTCTTGACTCTTCTATGACAGAAAAATAGATATATATTTAAGTATTGGATAAACTATGCATTTAAGGGATGCTCAGCACAAATTACATTAAGAGTAACAAAAAAAAAGTGCATTTTTAACTATTAATTATTTGCATAAGTATAATTTAGAATGTTTTAAAAGCTTGAAGTTTTTTTTCTTCTTAGATTAATGAATTAAATTCAACCTTATGAGAATGTTTAAGGATCAACGGGAAACCTTATGTAAACATCTTTGTGTTTTACCGTTTGTTGGACACCAGAGTCTTTTGAATTTTAGTTTGGCTCTAAAAATCATTGGCCCTGAGCTCCTTATGAATACTGCCTTGAAGCTTTGAGGCACATTAGAAGAAGCTTTTACTGTAAACAAAGAACAGCAGCCAAAGCAGAGTCTTTTCATTTGGCTTTCTCAAATTGACTCTCCAGCTGCCTTAATTTTAGAACCAGACAAATGGAAAAAGATCAAGCTATACACCCAGACCTTCTGAGATGTGGGAAAGAAAACACAGCAGAGGTCGGCACACCCTGGCTGCACACTGTGCTCCTGAGTGTGTTCTTACAGTGAAATATACATCAGGATACACACAGTGCTATACGTGGCCCAGTGAGTGAGAGCAGCACATCATTACTGGCTTCCACTGAAGCCTCAGCCACACAGCAGGGTGCCACGCTGCCCACAGAATGCCACACACACACACACACACACACACACACACACACACACACACACACACACACACACACACACACACACACACACACACACACACACACACACACACACAGTCTGCTGTATCATTACACCGGGCTGCTGCTCCCTCATTAGCTGCTGTATGGAGAGAGTCCGCAGCAGTGAGGGAGGGGAGAGAGGTACAGCTGAGATCTTTTTCAGATTGTTTTGATCGAGAGGGCTCTTTCCGATCCCATTTTTCATTATGGGCTTTGGGAAGATCAGACAAAGACCGATTTTTTGTCATCGATTGCTTTGCCACTCATACAATTGTAAGACCTTCTTTAAAGTAGTTGACACAAACAAAAACATCTAAATGACTAAGTTATAGGGCTGCCTATTTTATAACAATTTAATTCAAATTGCAATATGGACTAGTGCAATATCCAATTCGCAGTGTGTTATATTTGGTACAAAATATTGAATGAAGTATTGTGGAGCTGTAGAGGAGTCCTGTCCTAACGGTATTCTAGTGGGAATTACATAGTCCTTGTTTGGTTCAAATCAATTTCTGATATTTTTCAACGATAATGTTGCATTCCCTCCAATATCACACATGGTATCTCAGTTGCAATATCATTAATATAATCGCAATTATTTTTTCAAAATCTTGTAGCCCTAGTTAGTTATCCTTGCGTTAAGTCTGTGGTTTGGGACAAGCTTCAACAAACACACACTTCCCGTAGAGCAACTTCATATTATCCCCTTGTTGTTAGACCTTCGCTCTGGTGAATGCCCACATCTCAAGACATATTAGACATTATGGTGCAAACAGTTTGGACAGGGTGAGTGTGACAATCCTTCAAAATTAAAATGATGTTGATATGGAAATATGATGGAATACCTCTTTTTAAATATTATAAACCTTTTTTATTTTGTAATGCCACATGTTTTGAGCATGTCATTTAATGAGGGTCGAGAGAGAATTTTGCCATCCCATAACATTAGCAGTTTTCCTTCTACACTATAATTGGACAGGTGTGACACACAGGTCATTTACACACATATTTAATGCTGGTGTCTGCCATCTGTCTGCTTAATTAAAGAAGTGGTAATGTAAAAATGTGGAGTAAGACTCACCATCCGTTCATGGTGAAGTCTCTGTAGAGCATCCTCTTGCCCACCTCCTTCCTCTGGACTCTCCGGGGGAATTCCAGGTGTGTGAACTCGTTTCCTAACAGGTGAGGCTGCATGAAGCCCTGGAGGACACAGTGAGGGTCTTTAAAGCAGCTTCTAATGAGAGTCAATTCCCATTATACCTGCCACTTCCTTCTCAAACCTGACTTTGGCTGAAAACATGTAAGCCGAGGCTGTGGTGACTGACATTAGATTGGGCTGATAATAGAGGACTTATATAACCTAGAATTGTTCCTTAACTTGTTTTTTAATTAGTTAAACTGAGCAGGAGAGTTGTAATTGCTTGGGATGGTGGCCAAACAATCTAAAGGAGACATGGTTTTTAAATTACCCATGATTCCCTCTGGCATTTCTGTGCTGCAGTTTCTTGCAGACCTGCATGCTGATAGGTCGGTGATAGTTTCAGCCAGGCTGATGTATTGGCCAGGCTCCACTGAACTTGTCCTAATAATGTATTTCAGATTAATTCATGAAATCAAAAGGAGACATTAGTGCCCCTGCTTACTGCCACTGGCTATAAAATGGCCTTCTGACAGGAGTCTTTGTATTCTATTTTCAAATCAAATGCAAATTAGGGTTTTTTTTACCAGGAACTGGAGTCGCTGTCGTTCTGACTCTGGTGTGAACTCTGTCGACATGGGGATGATCTCGTTACTCCTGATAATGATCGCCCTGCAGACACACAAAAGGTTGGAGAAGTAATGTAGATGCAGGAGATTTAATTTAACACACAATCATTATAATCTTCTGCCAGGGGCTCTCCGTCAAGAAAATAACAGAATACTTTGTCATATTTAATGTTTTTTAACTTGCAGCCAAATAGTGGTGCACGGATGAGTCCTAAAACCGGTTGATTAGCATTAGCACTTCTGGTTCCCTCGTCTTGAAGTCAGCGATTTATTTTGAATTTATGTTTTGGTTAGTGGCCCGAAACAAGGTCTGTGTTTAACACAAACTAACAATATCTTCACGTTTTGTTCTACCACATAAATTACATCAGTAAATACTTTACTTTAGGAAAAAAACGCTTTATTAATGTATTATTATTATTACTTGTGAATGTCAGAAACCTCTACGTGTCCTAAGAAATTGCGGATTCTAACAAGTGGCTATCTCCGGGATGCCTTCCAAAAAACGTCATCACTGAATACATACTGACTTAATAATGCAGTTTCACGTTAAAAATGAATGTGTCTGAGTTTTTTTTATCAAACTAAAGTTAATACCAATGGGGTGTGTTATTAAACAATGTTATCCTTGGATGGATTGGTGGCATGTGTGCATATAGAGGGGCTGAAAGTACAAAAGGTGAACTGACGGAGGGCAGATGGAGCAGATTTGTATAGCATGGAAGGCTGCTGACAGCCCTCCTGTGTCAGCCAATTTCCTGCTGAGGTTTGGACAGGACAGTGGATGGAGTCACGATATACTGACATCATACGGCCATGGGTCCCTGGGTTGTACTGCGCCTGCTATGCAGACTCAGTGTGGTCAGAAGATCAGCATACACACCTGCTGTCACCTGCATTCCCAACGTATAGTTTTCCCAGCAGGTAAACCACAGTGAGAGCCGTGCAGCCTCCGGTGATGTGGAACACCTGCTTCTCGCGCTCAATCTGGGCATCCTGTGAAACGGAGAGACAGTGATCCATCTTTAATGAAGCAACACTTAGGATAATAGGAGAAAAAAAAGACCATACAGGAAGCTGTACGTGTGCTCTCCATTCGTTCACATTCATACATTTGACTATAGGCCAAAAGAGATCGATGGAGATCATTATTTAGACACGGAAAGTGAGCCAGACTGAGAAAATCTGATCAACTATTTGGAAACAAAGATGTGGAGGCATTGTTGCAGACTATTGATCATTTAAACTGAACCCCTGTGAGCGTGTGAATAATGAATAATGTATACAGCGATATGTGAAAGGCTTTGTTTATTGCCTAAGGATGTCAGGCTTTGTACTGACAAAACATGCACAAGAGCTTTTTCCCCGTCCCATTTAATTATTATTATATATTTCAGCTTTTATTATCCAACTGGGATATAATCAAATGAATTCTTTGGGGTTCCAACCACAGCTTTAACTGTTGTAGTTATAATCTCCAGCAGAAAATGTCCAATCAATTGTTAGAGAGCTTATTTCCCCCCTCAGATAATAAAGGGTGGCGTGGTTGTTCTGAGAGGAGCTTTCACACATCTTTTTAATCTGAGTACTGCAGGATCCAGCTTGGACATTGTGAGCTGTTTGCCATTGCCATCTAGTGGTAATACTGCAGTATATCTCATAACAAAGCAATTTGAATGAAACCGTGAAGGAAGAAACTAGGAAAAACTGGACAGTATGTTCCCTTATGCACTGCTGATATCCGAATGAATATAAATGTTTTGGATATGTTTCGTAATTGAAAATTGGCCTGTGGCTGTTTCTCCAGTAATAAAACATTTCAGCTAAATGTGTTAAATTTAAAAAGCAAATAACTTAAGAGAGATTTATTTAGATGCTGCCTTCGGATGTGAGCATCATCGATTCTAATGTGTGTGTGTGGTTGAGAGGCGAGTAGCCGGGAGCCATCATTTCATAAGCCAGCTCTCTGAGGCTAGATTTCCAGATAGATTGTAAATACAGAGGCTACACTTGACGATATCTTGATCTAGTGAAATTAATGCTGGTTGACACATTATAGTATGACGAGATGTCTTTTGTCAAGTACATTTATCCAGCTAACCACCAAAAAACACTAAGGGCATCTTAAGTAGATATCACCATACTCAATCAACTATCAATTTACCTTGAGTTACAGAGAAACACATTTCTGCTAATTTAATTCATCAGTCAACTGTCCATGATCCTTAAAATACTTGCTTAAACCTAACCTAACCACATGTTCTTCCTTCACCCTAAAACTTGCCTCTTTAATAAATCACATAACTAAATTCTCAAAAAGATTGTCTTCATATTATCCAGCCCTAAATGGGATTTGACAAGTATCTTAGAAGTGAGGCAACTGATCCCTGACAGAAGAAAATCAGTGCAGTGCATTTCTTGAAATTCCGTTGACAAAAGTCCTAAAATGTTACGTAAAGATGCATGACAGACTCCTGCTCCTTCCTCTCACCATCTCTTTGAAGGCGTTCTCTATGGCTCCTATCACCAGGCTCTCATGCTGGATCTTCTTCTCCGTGTAGAAGCGTGGTGGAGGAGGGGTGTTGCAGGGGGAACCTGGAGCACCTGAGGCCCCGCGCAGTGAAGCGGCCCGAGTCAGGGACCGGTGAGGGCCTGGGGGGTTTCCCTGGAGGTAGGGGTTGGTGTCGGGCTCCTCACCCAGGACAGTCGGGGGCAGGGAAGAGAGGTTGCGAAGGATCTCGATGACGGCCTGGAGCTGGCAAGCGATGTGGTGCTGCATCAGGCGGGAGGCGACCACCGCTGCCCCAGAGCCCGCGTGACCATCGAACAACGCCCAGTAGTGGAACACCAGGCCTTCACTGTCCTGCAAGTGGCAACAGCATACAGTCACAAAGCAAACCAAGAGATGACCTAAACGTCTATAATTGGAAAAAATGACTGTTAGTAAAAGTCGGAATAGTGCTTTCAGTGGAAAATCAGTATAATTCAGGCGGGACCGGAACAAAAGCGAAATTTCTCCCACGGTGTTGACTCAAACAACCTGGCAGACCTTAGCACGAGTCACGATGATCCAAAGAAAAGCTCGGAGTATATGGGAAACACAGCTTGGTCAAAGTTTACCTCCTTGGAAAAATAAGTGACTAAACGTATTTAAAAAAAAATCAAAACAAGATCGATTTCCGGTTCATATTTGTAATTGATGTGTCTAAGCTTTTGCTTCAATGTTCAGAAAGTGCTTTGAGGTTTAGATTAGCTGGCCGGCTCTGTTGTTGATTAGAAATGTCCCACCCCTTAGCCTATCACGTACAATGTAAAAGAAGCGCAAGTGTTAGGTAGTGATGTCACTATGTAACTAAAGGAGTTGACAAACGTTGACAGCTCTAGTTCTTACCTCTCCTAGCTTGTTGTGGTCCGAGCGGAGCCCCAAGCCCTCTCCGTTGGGCAGGGAGTTGCGTCTCTTGGCTGTGGGGGTCTTGGTGGGCGTGGACGGGGGGCAGTAGCTCATCGGCCTCCTTCTCGCTATGACCAGCTCGCAGCAGGCCTGGTCCTCATTCAGTGCACTCTTACCAGCGTTAATCACCCTGAAACAAGGGGTCAAAGTAAAACATAATTTTCAGTTTTTGTCAGACATTCAGAGATCCTGTAAGAATCATATTTGGCAGCAAACGTTTGGCAATCAAGATAAAATATTAGCTACAAGCAACTCATTTCTGTGAGTCTGGCAACTGTGGGCTGGAACAAGCGGGTTGAATGAAAGCTTTTTGTTGGATGAAACGGTGCTGCAGTCTTTCAGGGGTTATTGTGGCTCACTGCAGGTTCACGACAATTATTCAAAGCTTTCGATCTGAACACCCAACGAGGCAGCTGGCATGGTCTGCTTCGCTTTCCGGATAAAGATCAAACAGGAGGTTTGTGGTCGTTTTGTGTGTGTACATGCCCAAAGCTGTGTCTGTGTTTCATCTTTACAGTCCCAGTATTCAACCAGACAGACTGCAGAGAGAGATGAAACCAAGGAGAGATGAAACCCAGTGTGTGGTTTGCATAGAATTGATGCCTTATTTCAATTGTCTGTTTTTGTCATACACAGTCAAAGAATCTACTGATGATTCATATGAGCAGGATGTAAAATAGCTATTTTAATGAGATCACTGGTATTATTCCCCCAAACCAACACCTCAAAGTATGACTCAAATAACACTTCAAAGCGTTTTTCATTAGAGCAAAAGCGATTGGGCTAACAAAAAATAGTGAATAATAAAGACTGTGGAGGCGGCTCTGTGAGACTGGCGAGTCGACAGACGTCTCCGGAGGGTGTTGTGAATGTGTGTGAGTTGAAACATTGGCATGCCTATTTTTAGACACAGACTGTGGATGTTTTCTGCAAGGCAACATCAATGTCTGGTTTTCAAATGCTTGAGGTAAGATAGAAAGATTAGGGGAGAGGCTCAAAGAGAGATAGTGACACGTTTTTGCTTGAAATGATAGGATGTGTATGAGTATCTCATAAATATGTAAGTAAAAAGCATTTATGCATTTTATACTTCCAATATTTCATCGTAACATAGTATTAAGTTGTGCTTTATACTTGCTTTTGTAACAAAGGCAAAAACACATTCACTCAAAGCTTTTTTTTGTCTGAGAGAAAGAGAGTGAGAGAGAGATGGATGTATTATCTTGAAAGCATCGTAGAGCTGTCCATTTCCGCTGCAGATTATGCAGTGGTTAGATGGGAGGGACCAAATCAATAATAGCCTTTGTATTTGAACCTGGTTTAAATTTGTTTGCTTTGGTGGACTCCATTGAAAATCCAATAACTACACGCCCTTTATAGTGTGAGCAGCAATATTGTCGGACCTGTTCAACAAAGCAAATGTGTATTTCAATCTGCTAACAATGGCACAGGTTCCCATACTGAGTCATGCTGCTATAGCTACGATATGTCATTCACCATTGATAGTGTAAAAGCCATCATATCCATAGGGCTGGTATTCACTAAGATTATGCCACTCTGGTTTCAATCATCATATTTTACCACTGCATACACAATGGCAGCAGTTAAAGACCTCTGAATCCGGAAGTTGTTTTTTTGCTTCATCAAATCTGCTGTTTCAAAAACAAACAACAATGTAATGACTCGTGTCTATGTGTGTGACCATGTCCTGCTGGTTTAACCTTATTATTTATGGAAACATACATGTTTCTAGAAAGCTTTTGTATCCTATTACTATTTGCAAAAACAATCCTCATCCTCCTAGACCATGCATTTAAAGGGACCAATCAATAATGGATTGTTCTATGTAACTCTGTCATGTTTGGTGCAGCTGGTGCTATTGTGTGTGTGCGTTTGTGTAATTTGAAAATGCTCTTCCATCTAATTTGTCCTCTTTTCACAATTTGCAAGAAGAATGACAGTCAGTTCATTTCCTGCCAGTTTTATTCAGAACAATTAGCCTTCCTCCCATTAGGAACAAAACATAATTTCCCCATCTTTTGTCAGACGACTAATGCCCTTTTTGTTTCTCTACCCCCGGCAACAGATTCTGGGCAAGGCATTGGCTCCAAGGATGGGATAATTATTTGGCAAAGCACAATGGCTCGTAGCTTTGCCTTCGTTTAACTTGTAACATCAAAGGAACAATAGCAGAAAAAGAGCTTCATGTTAAATACTTAAAACAGTCTTTAAACAAGTCAAAATGTTGTACTTTGTCTTGAAGGTTTTATTCAGAATTGCACTAATGTTATCACCTGAACATAGGAGAGAAGAAGATACAAAGGAAAAAAAAGTGAGAATTTGAATGTAACATATGAATGGATGGTTTTCACCTTCAATTTGTAGTTCTCACAAGACTGAGAGGAACATCACTACAATGTGCAGTTTACTGATAATGCTGAATCATTTCCTGGTCCAAATATTTTGTCAGTATTTTTATACAGAGGTGGAAAACCACATACTAATTTCAAGCCCACAAATGTTACATTTGCTGACTGAAATAGCAGTCGATGCTACAATATACAGCTGTAGCTATTAAGCTAACGTTATCTTCGTGAGTTAGCTGAAAACTCACTCTCTAACTGACTTTATCATGGCTCTACTTCACTCATTATTAGACAATAACCCTGTTTGGGGTACAGTAAATAGCCATTTGATCGCTACACACATAATATTGTGCATGTCCCAGGCAGAAAGTCAGAATCCCCAACAGTTTCAGGTCAATGATAAAGAAAATCAGAATACCTTTATTAGTCCCACAGAGGGGAAATGTTACGTTGTTACAGCAGAAAAAGAGCCACAAGTTAAAAGTGGATGCGCTATTGAATTGGGCTTTTAAAACTACTCATTGGTCTTTAAAGGCAATGCTAAGTTATTATTAGTTAAGCTAGTCAGCTTAACATCATGACATTTTTAGTCAACATTTTTACACTTGTGCTCTTTTGTTTATGAAAAAAAAAAAAAAAAGCACCACCATCCAAACGCTTTACAGTATATGGTCTGTATCGTTTTGCCGACTGCCCGTAAACTTCAACAAGTGGACATTGGGGAAGTCTAAAACTTGACATGCTAGCTACCGTGGCTAAGCTATGATAAGATAATCGCTGAAAAGGAAAGTGTTTAGTGAACAGTAAATTATGAGCCCCGCAACAACGGTTTTGTCTTAACAACTTTGACAGTGTGATTCATTGATTCCAGATGTTTCTTTGGCTGTTCATTGTTGAACACAGTAGAGAGTACAACGATGAGGAAAAGTGGGAGTAGGATAGCTATGAGACAAAATGTCAGCTGTAATGACAACACAGGAGGCTTTAATCACAGATAAATGTCGGTACGAGCTGAACTCATTAACGACACCGGTCCCAAAGAGACTACTCATGCCTGTATCTGTGTGGGTGTGTGTTAAAGATGGTAAAAGAAAGACAAAGAGGGAGGATGTAAGAAAAGACCCAATTAACAAACATTTTCAGTAATATTCCGTTAAAATAGTTTGAACGGTTTGAAGTAGGGTTTTATTACAAACTTTTACAGTCAGTTTACTTCCCACAGTAGATGGGAAGTAGATGGTAGATGTGAAGTTTCTTTTAGACAGAAAGAAACCTGCCGGTCATGGAATTAGTCGTTCAACTGCTATAAGGGTTAGTTTGAATTCAACAAAGTGACACTGTAACACTAACAGCCAAGTGTGGCAGCAAAACCCTAAGCAAACAGAGGTTCCTATCAACATCCAAGCTCAGATAAAACGTTGAGCAAACTGGGAGTCAATTGTAATACACCCATGTCCTCTACTTGAGTGTTGTTGCACCATTGTTCCAATAACAAAATTAAGAGTACGATGCATTTTCTAACAGAATAATACACTGGGTTTCTCTCCCCTTTTTATATGAGATATGTGAAGCATTCCCTATGCAAATGTTAAAGTGCAGTGTATAATGTGACATGATTAGAAGAGCGATTCATAGTATGCAGATGCTGACTAAGGCCATTTAAGTGCATTAAGACAAGTCAGAACTCTGGAGTAAATATCGAATATTTTTATGATTAACTAAAGAGCCCAATAACATGCAATCACAAGAATTGTAGGCTTATAACCAGATGCTGGTGGGACAATAGAGGGTGTGTCATCCAAACAAGATGGGGCTGTCTTAATACTTTCATCCACTTCTAATTCATGTATTTCCAATATGATACAAACAAGAGCAAAAGGATGCTGTGTGGAACCACAACCACGTTAGTAATATGGATGTCAGTCACAGCAAGTGCAGAGCTGCCCCCACTCAGTGTTTTTCATTAGTCTGAGTGTATAGGAGCAAATCAATGGTACCAACTGTTGTGGTTTGACACCTGCAAGCACCTGGGCCTCCACATGAGCTTTACATTGTGATGATACAATACAACAGGAGGTCAGCTGTTGTCAGGTTACTTACTCGGCGTATCCGGTGGCCCACGGTAATCTCCTCGTTTCCCTCAGGATGACGATGGGCCGAGCTGTGTGGTCCGCGGAGCACTCGATCTCATCCGGGGACAGTCCCAGGAACTCGGGTCTCATATAGGGGAATTTCATCGGCAGCTCGGAGCCAGGGTTGCACCCTCCCCCGGAGCTGCCCCCGGCCATGATGCCACCCATGAACCCGGCCACCGCGCACTTGACCCGACCGAGCATGTTGCCTCCTCGTCGCGGCGGGGGGTCTGTGGGCCGGTGCGCGCCCCCGCGGCTCCCTTTACCCGAATTCCCCCCCAGCTCGACGGCAGGCTCGATGGAGAAGAGAGGCGGTGGAAGAGGAGGAAGAGGAGGAGGACCTCAGATGGTTAACGCTTCATTCATTCATTCAGCACAGGAGACAACAGCTGCAGCCGGAGGAGAAGAAGATGAACACCGCTATGATGCATTAGGTAAAACTCTGCACTCCCATCATTGATAACGGCTCGGCCGTCGTGAACGCGGAAATACGCTGAAGATTAACAGGTCATGTGACGCAACCGTGGATGCACACTGCAAAAAATGTTAATTCCATGCTTGGTCTCTTAACACTTATATTATAAAGGATACCTATATCTTTGATTTTATAAAAAGCATAAAGTAATGTAAAAAGCTCAGTGTCGTGAGAATAACCCTTAATTTCATTTTTTCCTTTTATTATTTTGCAATTTAAATTCTTTTTCCATGGATGGTCCATTCTGATGGACTGGAAAAGCGATAAGTCATTATTTTATAAATGGCTGTGCTTTATAAGCTGTACGCGGTTTCATTGAAAACGAATGGATTTTTTTTTAAACTAGTATTACATCTTTAAAAGAGATTTCAACGCCCACTAGGCTAAACTTATTTGCCAGACTGATATTTTTTGCAGTGCAGGATGACCATACATTGATCATTCTCAGAATGCAGGATGAGCTGTTTACAGCGGCTGACAGCAAGTTAAAGGTAAAGACCTACGTTTATTATACGGGCTATAGAAAACCTGCTTTGTGTAATAATAATTTGACCCAATGTCTCTAAATTAATGCAGCATTTGTTTTGTATTGCTACACTTATAGTCCACCTGAATATTTAAATGAAGATTCTGCATTTTTTGTTATAAATTATTTTATTTTCAATAGCTTCCAAGTCTTATGACCCATTGACTCCCAATCCATACCAGATTTAACAATAGATACACTGGACAAATAATACATTTTTTTTTTGTATTTGAGAGTTTCTTCAATTTAATTAGATTATTGGCCTTATGTTTCCAACTAAATTGAAAACAAATTGCTATACAAGTAGGACACACCTCGTTTTATTTTAGTTCTTCTTTTTCTAAAAAAGAAGCAGTTCTTTAATTGAAAACTCTTTGATTTTAGCTTCCATATATTCCAAGACCCCTCCTTTGTTCCATATGACTACTTACATTTTGGAAAAAGGTGCTACAGAGCATACATCTATTTATAAATAACCCATTGTGATTTACAGCCACTAACATTATGACTTATTTCTGCGGAGGAAGACCAGGGACTTACCATAGAAACCACAGACTTGATGAGTAGGCAGGTTATAAAAACAGAACTCCTTGATTATTTATTAACACGTTAAGACTACCCACTTGGTGACGCATTATCAATGGAAACCCATGACTCATTATTAACAGCATACTAAGATTTATAACTTTATTATTACCCAAACCCATGAGAAGTGTAATGAGGGGTGTTGTAATACACACATAATCCCAGTAGATGGAGCTATTACGCAAAAGTAGGACAGGTCTGAGCTTTCAGTGTTACTTCAGATTGCGCTTTAAAACATGCCAGTATATTAGCCTATTGTTTGCTTCTGTATAAGAAATTGCCATCTCACTTTTGTAAGTAACACATACAAAGGTATCACTTTTTTGAAGCTAATGCAGGGTTAGGGTTAGGGTTGCACTTACAATGTTTCAGCTTATTGAAAGCTAATTTCTTGCTATTGTGAGATTGTATTGTCATGGTTGATTGCACTTATTCTGATTCCCTTTGGATAAAAGCGTCAACTAAATTGAATGTAATTTCTTTGTCATTGATTTGATTAAAACCAGGCGCTAGGTGTTTCACTACTCCATGTCCTATTATCTGGATACTAGTATAAGGCACACGAATAACTGAGCTACAACAAGTCTTTGTGTTGTGTCTTTTTCCCCCCCGTATTTCGTCACTTGAAATTAAATCAAACGGAAAATGATAAGATCTCATTTTAAGGCCTTGAACTGGGACTATCCCATCAGTTTCTTTTTTGTTGTACACAATGACTGTTAGCCGCCCCCATTGAACAACTCTTTTATGGTCTTGCTTTGATGTTATTTCACAACACAGCATTTAAAAGAAATGCATGGCTGACAGTAGAAGTAAAGCAATATCTCTTCCAACTGCTGGGTCTCTGTTGACACATGTCACACAGACTTTGGGATTAACGTGGTAGTGCTGGAAGGCTACAATTTCTTCACAGTGTCATTCCAGCATCAGAGTAGTAGGAAGTCCGCACATTGACTCAAAGCTTTCCTTTATCTTCTGTTTTGGCAACTCTTCTGCATACCAGCAGGCTTCCCCTGGCATTAGAAGTATTATTTATGAATGAAAACAAAAGAACATGGCGAACATATAGTGCATGACGTGTGTATCGAAAGAAAGTACTACCACACGAAGAATGTAAAAGCAAAAGGGGGACGATATAATAAGATTAAAAAAACATTAACCATGTAAGTTTATATAAGGATTCAGATTTACTTAGGACACTGACATTTTAAGCCCTAAAAAAGATTTTTTTTAACGGTTAACAGGGTCATTGTTATGGTTTTGAGGTCCCAAATTTAGCTTTTCTTGTTCACTTTTTCTGCGATCATATTGTTGTTTGTACTCAAAAATAGATACCATTTCAGATGGGAAATGCTCTAAGCCCCAACAATACAATACTCGACCTACCAGCTATCTATAAATGCTAATGTATCTGTTGGATGTGTCAATAAGGAACTGTGTGCGAACAAGCTTGTCATATTGAATAAAAAGGTGATCTCAGGTCAGTGTTGCATACACAGCTTGCTCCCAAGCAGACAGACAACCAGTAATAGCAAGAAAAAGAAAATATCATTATTAATATGATAAACTCCCCCAGTCTGATTCAGCTGAAATGTGCCCATGTTAGGGCATGGGTAGCATAAGGCCAAGAGGAAGTCTCCTTTGTGGGGGAGTTAAATGTCAGGAGCAACTGTGATGGTTGACTTTGCCTTGAGTGAAAGCTTTTGTTCTAGGGACACATGATCCACATAGCGCTCATACCCTGCTTGTATTAGGTTTCAGCTACCGTTCCTTAATCCTCAGCCTATTTGACTTTACCCAGATTTAACAGTGAGTGTTTTTGTTTACAGCAAATCTAAAAGTTGCACCAGGTACGTTTAAAAAAATGGGATTTTTCCAGACGAATTTCAGCAATAATGAAAACAAAAAGTTGTGAAATGATCTCATTCCAGGAAACCCTGATTCAGATTTCTAAAAAGTGTGTCATGATGAGTGCAAATTACAAACATTAAATGGGGATGTGCTTGGAAGAGAGAAAGCGTTTACTGGGTTTGTTTCTTAACAGCATATGCCACGCCTCCACTGAGGAATATTTAAATCTGCACCTCTCACTCTGTGTGCTTAGCTCTGCTCTAGTATATAACTCACCACTGGATATCATCACCAAGTCAACAGGAGAGCCTCTTTAATCACCTGGCAAACCAAAAGAAACTTCCTCTTACCTGGAAAAGGAGAAAAGAAGAAAAATATAAAAGGCAAGAAACAGGACCAGGAGAAGCAGAGCATTAGAAGAAGAAGTGTCTTGGTGCTGGATGGGCAACATGTTCCTGTGGGTCGCCTTGCTGATGTCTCGCTGTTTCTGGGGTCTGAGTGGAGCTGCAGCAGAACAAAGCTCAGAACTGGAGAGGATAGAGAAATGTGGCACCCGGTGTTCTCAGGTAAAACTCAACGTTATCAACAATCAAGCTAAAAACTCTAACAAATAACAATACAAACTATTTTTGATACTGTATGGTTTTAGCTATTAACATTAAACTGATTTAATTTTGTATTCTTCCAGACTGTTTCAGTTGTTCCATTGTTTGCATTTATAAACTTTATATCCACATTACTAATGAATATATTTTGAAAATATCACTGTGGAAAAATGTTACGATTTTTCCACAGTGATATTTTCAATTATTTTTAACGTGATATCAAATAAATGCTGTTCAAGCTGTCTACTATTTGCCTTTTTGTCTACTTTATATCCACATTACTGATGAATATATCATTGTGTAACAGTGTTGTGATTTTTATACAATGATATAAAACAAACGTTTATCTATTTATTCTATTATTTGCCTTTTTGTCAATTCTGTTCTCAAATGATATACAATATCAGTGTGATTTTTCTTATAGAGGTATTAGAAAAAAAAAATACAAAACAATGTTAATATAGTTTTTTCTCGAGCCCTTAAGTGTACTATTAGAGCCTCCTATTTCTGCTGCTGCTGCTAAAACTCAATATATTATACGGTAATCCTGCTGCTGTTTTGCCACCCATGTCTATCAGAATTTCTACCTGTCAAAATACTACTATAAATAATCCACGGTTTCAGGCTTGTGAAATGAACCCTGATGTCCTCAAAGGCTCTCTAAATATGACACATGCAGCTTACTGTGTGAGTCACTTATTCTGTCGCTGAAACCTTTATTTAACGACACATAATGCTTAAGCACACATGTTGTGCTGTCTGCAAGCATGCACGTTAAAGGGGCTGGTTTCTACTTCTTAAAGGCCACAGTATTTTTATTTGCATACTGTATTACTCACCTTATTATTTCTAGCCAAGGAGTCGAAAACAGCTGCATATCATGTTAAATGGAGATAGATAACACCTTTCCTCCCTAGTATGCTCTCTGTGACCCTACTCGTTTTCTTAAGCTATAAATAACCCTTTTGCACAGTTTAGGGCTTTTACCTTGAGTGCAGATTTTCACGAGGCTCATGTTGCACAATAAACACATCTTTCTCTTTTGCAAATGTGTAGAGGTATATGTGCTCAAAAATAATTCTTCTTCCTCAATTATGAGTCATGTTCCTTTCAAAACATCTTGAGCTATGAGCTCATGTGAATTAACTTGTACTTTCAAGTGAAGCTTGATACTTACACTCGAGCATTTTACCACATTTAGTAATACTAGAAGCATTCAGTAAAAAAAAAGGAACGTCATACACGTCTGCAATTACTGGTGTCAGTGTCAGAAATAGTTTCCACAGGGCCTATTTCCTGGCTCAGGTGTAAACAAGGATGTATTTTTGAAACATTTGAGGCGTGCCTAGGCAAATTGCACTTATTGACCTTGATGTACAACGTTGCATGTTTTGCATCACAGTGTGAATTCCTGCATTGACATTTTTTACGAAAATGCATTGCAGACTGCAAATTGAAGCACAAGAACACAAGTGCAGTAATTTATTAATATGTTTATGTTTTGCATGTGGACGCGTTGCAACCGCAGCTAAAACACAAACTGGTTGTGTATGAACTGAAATAGCAATGAGGATGTGAAAAGATCATTACGTCTGGGAATTCCCTCCTCTGGAAGGGTGCTACCTTTGTTCTCTTTGTTAAGAATTACTTTATTACAAAACTTGTGCCATGCGTAGTAACACAACATATTAACAGGGCGTTTAACTCTCTCTTTTCCTCATTCACCTTGCAGGGCCTTCACTGCAGGACCAAGCCAGGCGGTGAGTATAGACCAATATCTGCTTTATGCACACATGCAAAGAGGACATGATTCCGCACAACATGTAAATCATTATGCATTCAGAAGTGCATCGAAGCATCTTAAGAGATTTCAATTTACACTAAAACATATTGTGCACACATCACCTTTGAAGATATCATCTGATGGAGGGAATGTTTGTGTGTTATGTTCTTCTAAATCAAGATCAAGGAAGAATAAATGGATCTCTACGCTTGGCACATTTGGACTGCACACTCATGTCACTTTGTTGGCAGTGTGACAGCAGGAACACCTGACATTTTATTAATTTATGTCTCATTTCTTTCTCTGTTCTCCCTTTCCTTGTGTAGCCTGGTTTCCTCCTCCGTGTCAGGACCCTGCTCAAGGTCTCAACTCCTCCTCCGTGTTCACCAACATCAGCCTCTCCACAGTCATGAGCTGCGAGGGCAGACAGAAGTGTTCGCTACACCTTCAAATCAAAACCGCAGTGCACCTAACTGGTATGTCAGTGCAGCCGCTTGAAATGATGTCATTAAAATACAAAAGGTGTCTATCTAGACCTTTAAGCTATAATTAACATTTTGAACATTGGACATCCACGAGGTTGGATGAACAGTTTTAGTAGATGAGACATTCTTAAGAGACTCATTTAGTTCAGCATTTCAAGAAAACATACATTCTGTCACATAGCTACTCGGTATTATCTTAAAATATGAGCAAGATCCCACCAGATTCTTGAGATTTGCATTTGTTTCTTATTCCGGTTTCAATTGAATGTTAACCTGTGCAAAAGAGTTTGCCGTTCTGACTTCAAAGCTGATGGTTAATAGATGTTAAAGACACTAACTACTGCTTTAGGAATCAGGTCTTGAATCTACATAGTATTTACTGCGTTAGCTATCACTGGCTGCTTATATTTCCTACAATCTTTCTATATTCTTTATAATGAAATTCTTACCTCGAGAAGTCATGATATATATATTATTCATATTCGTCATCATAAAGTAGTTTAACTTGTGGGTGTAGTCTAACCAATGCTGGAATAATAATGGTGGTTATCACTGGTGACACAAGTATTTGTGGAAAGTGCAAGTGAACCGGGAAGAAAATGTAATTGATAAACTACGTTCCGTTATCCAACTTCTGGATTTTTCTTTTGAGTGCGTCAATGCACGGTTTTTGTTACCGGTTAACACGCAGACTTTATCTGACCAGGCCTAGGGTTAAAACACTTGTGTACATCTGAACCAACTTGTAACAATCTTTGTAGATTTTGCTGGAGATTTGCTGGAGCAGGGAACTCCCTTTGATCTTGATAGTGCCTTCAGTTCAAACAGCCATTAAAACGTGACACATACCCTTCCTCCTGTATGAAACCTAAAGACATGCCGACTCACAATGACATGCATAGTTTTATGGCTAACTAGCTGGTTAACAGTTACTGTTTAACAAATGCGTCATCGATTTTGTGCCGACAGAGTCGATCCATGGTGTTTCCATCTGCACCGTCACTGCTGGTATGATGTCAAACTGCCAAGTGTTCACCTTCACGAAAGCTTCGAGAGGACGAATGTCCGGACGGAAGGTACTGTAAACAGCACCATGCGATTTACAATCTTGGGACATTTTGGTATACTTTTTGTAAAAGAGTAACATTTCGTTGAGAGTATGTTTTGGTTTTCATGTCTTGCAAGTGATGTAAGAAAATATGAAATAAGAAGGCATGAAAGTACATCGCCAAAATGGCAGATTCATGAAGATATATTTCTGTATCATCTGGATATTCAGGAAAGCACTTTGATACACTGTGCATTTTCTAAAACCTAATATTTAAGGTCAACAGAAACAGTTGTTTGTTTGACATTGAACGTTCAAGTATCACATAATACATTTTTCGGAAGCATGTTACAGCCTGTGTTTCTTTTTTGTTACCCTTTATCCAAAAGGTGGAAGTTGAGAATAATTGCTTTGACATTTCACCAAGCCAACGCGTGCAAGTTACAGTGAAAACTGTGCCGAGCTACTGCGGAGTAACATGGACAAGCACCTATGAAGCTCCAGGTGAGAACACTTGCATGTATGTCATAGGAGCATTAAGATATAAATATTGGTGTTTGTGTAAGCTTTCTCTGTAATTGATAGGAATAGGTAACATTAAGAACACTACTCCACACTTGTGTACAAATAATGGTAAATGATTAATAAAGGAGGAAACAGTAGTAGTTTGATATTATGCAAATTTTGAACATGCACGGGTTATGTCACATCTGTCTCGCTGTAGTCTTGGTATTTTGTAAGTTAAACATTGTTGCATTTCTCCACAGGTTGCATCAATAAAGATTTGCGACAACACGTCCCAGAGTGCATCAGTGAGTACACGTTTTTTCTTAAACCACTAGACCCATGAGCATTTCTTATTAGCTTCGCTGTCCCTTAGGGTATCAATAAACATTTGTACTTGGATGAAAACCTCGCACTGTCTCATTCAGCCGGGAAGCTATCATATGACGTAAAGCCGGAGAGGAAAGAGCTGAGTGTCAGGGTGACAGACATGCTGGAGGATTATGACTACTTCCTGCGTCTGTGCCGTAACGATTTCATCTGCAAAGGCACAGGGGCCGAAACAAAGGTGAGACCCTCTATGTTTTAGACACTGTCCATAAGAACAATCCTTTGTGTTGCAAAATATGAACTTAAAGGGACGGTTCCCCACATAATCCTACATGAAAGTGCTCATTACAAGGTGTGTGTAATCCGAGTTTCATGTAGTTCTAAAATTGTTCAGGCAGCTGTCTCTACTCCTGATATTTCCCACACTTGGCAATTCATAAATGGCATGACAATAATCTTTGCTTAAAATAGGCAGCTGATAATAAGTCGTGCTTTATAAACACTGTTATCATCTGGACAAATGACTGTTGAAGGTCAGAGCGTCACTTCTAACCTTTCTCCCACTGAGTCAGCAGGTCATTCACTTTGTATTTATAAGGGTTTGTCTACCCACTCACTCACTGACTTTTCTAGAGGGCAAAGGTGAATGCAACTTATGCAATGCTGTCCTCTGGTGCACAAATAATATTAACCCGTTTTACACTCAGTAGGGATTCTTATGTTGAAACCTCTTGAAAACTCTCACAGCTTACTTATCCGACACGAAAAAATGGGGCTAATCCATCATTTGACTCTGGAATAACCAAGATGTCAAAACCAAAGCCTTGTTCACAAGTACACATACCAAAGACTCATGACAAATGTTTACAAAGCTTTGTTTACATTCCAGATAAAGAAAGGAGATCCCGTAATGAGCGCAACCCTCCCGTACTCACGACCTTTGCCCTGCCTTTGCATCGAGGTAAAGTTTCAGCAAATACTCCGAGCATTTATGATATTTTCCTTTTAGTAATGACTAGGAAAAAGGTATTGAACTGTCCTTATAAATTCCTCATAGGGTTGGTCATTGCTGACGGATGCCCCCAGGGTCCAGGTCTGCCCCTTCAAAGACCGTGAGTCACGTTAATGCTTTTAGTCCCGAGAAAATCTGTAGTAAACTAATCCTGTTCCGAAGTGATACCATTTGTAAAGATTGTGGCATCCCCCTGTCTGCAGGTCTGGAGGAGCTGTGGTTTGGAATTAACTTCGACCCCCTGGAGGAGACGCTATCATGGGAACCCGAGTGCCAAGTGTCTGCTGTGGTTGCGTTGTGTCAGAAAAGAGAGGACGGCGTCTGTTTGGATCTGCCTCACGCCTCACAGAAAGTCAGCAGAGAAAAGGTACAAGTTGCTGACATCAAACCACAGTAGTGTTTACCCCTCTGGCTGCCTGTTATTAACACAAAACACTTGATACTTTATACGTAGGAAGAGAAGTTACGACAACAGGTTTTTTTTTGCCAGTAATACATCTCAAGATATGACGTCAAAGCAAAGTGTTTCCATGAAGTATAAAAGCCAGGCAACTATTTCATTTCTTTCCAAATGATTCAAAGTGAGAATACTTTTGCTTCAGCTAAAAAAAAGTTGAGTATCCAATTCATGGATGTATAAAGAGAACTGGATACAGTGTTGGAGGCAGGACCCCTTTCATTCCTATGAAAGTTGCTCAGTGACGCATGAAGCCAAAAGTACCTGTATCTGGGCCCATAGAAGATGCACGATTTTTCAGTTTCAAAAGAAAGGGAGAGCCTTCATCCCTTTGATGCTTAAGAAATAGATGGTATCTTGATATCAGATTGAACTTCAGGCCCTTTCACTTGAGAAGGGAATTCTCTGTCAGGTTGAAAATAACAAGTGACGCAAGCAAAGAGCCTCCCGTCTGTAAACTGAGTCCAGCTGAAAACAAAAAAAAGGTCTGAACAAAAACGAATCATAAGAAGCACTTAGTCGTACTGCTTTAAAGGAAATAGTTTTTATTTCAAAAATAACTTAATAATTTTTGCTTTTCAGATAACATTTGCTAAAGTGGATCCACACCCTCAGCTATGCATGAAGGTAAAGAATGTTACTGTGGAGAAACGGGCTCATATAATGTTGTTGTTGTTGTTGTTGTTGTTGTTGTTGTTGTTGTTGTAGTACAGTACCACTCTTTTACTATGCTGTTCTCTTGTCTAAATACTAAGTAGTTCCACTAGTTTTGGCAATTGTGCAACATTCTAATGTATAACAGAGCCCGTAATTTCAGTTTAAACTAGAGACCATTTTACCATCTCAAGTTAAGCTCCCTCCAGCAGTTAGCTTCGGTTAATAGTTAGCCGGTACTCGTTAGCCAGTAAGCTAATGGTAAGCTGTGGATTAACAGAGCTGCAAAATAAAATACAAACTGGATTTAAACAATTAAATAACAGTTTTGGAATAAAGCTAGTAGCATTTCCTTTGCTATGGCAGTTCATTCTATAGAAGGACACCCAATTATGTATTATTGCCCTTTTACTGTAGGTACTAAAATAAGTTAAAAAAGGGAAATGTTATGTTCAAACCCACATACGTTCTAAGATAGTTCAGCAGTTAACTGGTAACCGAACCATAAGGCAGAAGTATCGCAAGCGCTTCGAGATTTGTCTTGGCAGATGAGAAGTGCTATATAAATTAAATGTATTATTATTATTAATGGAAATCCTAAAAGCACTTCAAAACATAATTGTACAATGTTCTTCAGTTCACTGCAGGCCCTCAGTCCTGGGTTAAGTGTCCCTTTGCCGATGCAACATTCAAAGGTAACTTTACTTAATCACATCATCTGATTACTGCTTGGTTACATACTGCAATAAATCAATCTGATTGTGGCTTCAGAGAAACATTTTAATGTATAAAGTTGATATTGATGGACATTTAGTAATGTAGTATTCATTTCCAGCATGGGAGGTGGTTGTGACGAGACAACAAGGTCAGGAAGACGTGAAGATGTTGTCTCGCATCACTGCAACGTTTTCTGTGGGGCAGTGTGTGAAGTCTGAAGTGTCGACTGGGTGCCAGATCACTGACACGCACACCATGCATGTGGTAGGTATCACATAAAACATCTAATTTCCATACTGACCACACCACAATGACCATCTGCATTAGTTATATGGAGGGGCTTTTACATCCTGTTTGCATTGATTGCATGGTATCTTATTACTGTTTGTTTTAAAAGTATTTCCTTGTTACTGCTCCTAAGCAACATGCTGTTCCCTAAGGCGGTGTACAATAGCTTTGAATCAATATTTGTAATCAAACAAGCAATTAAAGCTAATTTTGCGTTATTATAAAATGGGATCTTCCAACATTTGCTCGATAAAATATGGTAGGCAGCAATCCACACCTGTTTGTCTTGGATGGGTGCACAGTTGATGGCACCAAAAGGAACAATGAAAGCAAAACAGAAACCATGGTAGCTTCCATAACAAAAGTGAAGCTTCAAGGCGTTTTTCTTTCTTTGACAGGTGAAGAATAAACCTGTTGACTTCAAACTGGAAGGGGAAATGTGCAACTCTTGTCTTGTGGTATGTTTGTATCATTCAATTATCCTGCACATATACTGCATTTTCCCTCACATTCAGACAGACTTTAAATACATTTTTATTTGGATAGGTGAAGAGGCTGGATGTGAAGTTTGCTGCAACAGTTATTCACTGTCTTGAGCAATGCCGTAAGTATAGTTTTCATCCTCCTTCCAAAATAAATATGAGTAAATCTTCTTCTATTTTTTTTGTCTGTTTCGGTCTGCACATTTTCCTAACCTGAGGTTTCACATCAGTTTGATGTGCAAATGGATACCACTACTTTTCTTTGTACGTGGTTTGGACTGGTAATAGACTATATATTTACTGCCAAGCTATCTTTCATCGGCTAATCACAAATGTACGTGCCTCCTGAAGTGGTTTTTAGGCATCTGTTTTTGAAAATAAAAGGATTCCAAGTAAATGTCGTCATTGACTACCCTTTGATTTAGTGTGCATGATGGATGAAACCATTATGTATGTGAGAAACTGCCAGAGCAGAAAGCATGCTGGTTGTAACGTCTTTCAAATTCAGATAAACACAGATTATTGTTTTGATGACCTCAAGCGATATAGTTCTATTTTGTTTGCATAACAGATGAAACCTGAGGGCAGAACGTTATGAAAACCGTCTTTGATGCATTTAAGGTCTTATTTCTTTATGGATAATTGAGTCAACACATTGATAAACTGTAGGGATCAGAAGTCTCATAAACAGGGGTTATTGTTTGGTTATCCTCAAGAGACATTAGGAAAGAAATTGGGAAATACACTTTTTATATTGCTTCAGGAGTTAGGTGAATACATCAATGCCAGCTAACAGGAAAGGAAACAGCTAGCCTCGCTCTAGCCAAAGGTTAAAAAACAACACAGCTAACAGCACCTTTTTTAAATGACACAAATGTACTCGTACAGTATATCAGATTTCACAATGCAAGGTTAAGCTAACTTTGGCTTCAGCTTCATATTTTTGACGACAAAAGTTTTGAAGTCTCATAATAGTTTTGTGCTGTTTTTGTTGGCATACAAGGGAGGGAATCTTTCAATCATTCCTTTCTTGGAAGGAAAGGACAGCCCAAAGTGTCAAACTATTCCTTGAAAAGCAACGTATTAAATACCATTGCCATGCATCTAATAATCTACAAACTGTATATTTTCCCCTCACAGAATCGTCATCGCCCCCCAGCGCTGGCTTCTCCAGGCAAGCCTCTCTGGACTGGACTTGGGTCGTTGTTCCTGCTAGCATTTGCCTCTCTGGCATCATTATCATCACTCTGTTGCTCAACTTACTGCTAACCGGTAGGTTGAAATGATGTTAGCTCAGGCCTGCAGGATTGTCTTCTCTGTTGACATCAAAATGGATTTAGGCACAGTTCCAGTGCCCACCCACACCAAGACTTCCTTTCTTCAGTTAGGAAGTAAATGCTGCAGATTTAACTTTACAAACCATATCATTGTCTGCCTTCTTTGAACACATGTTTGCAAAGTATGTAAGATTAGGTGCTCGACTGATTAGTGCATCATTCAATGTGCTTGATATGGACTTTAAGCTAGACTTCCTCTGTGAATGCAAGATTTACATTAATCTAATCTTCTTGCAATTTGGTTTCTGTCATTCAAATAAAAAAACAAGCCACTTAATTTGCCATGTGTCGGTCTATTTCCTCATCTGATTTCCCCTGTATTGTAATTTAGTGTACCAGAGGAGAAAACAGAACATGAATGGAGGCTGTATCTCTGAGAAGCAAATAGGTAAAATAATCTCATTTTTGATTGACTTCATTGCATACTGTACATTTCCAAATACCTCAAACCTGAACATCTCCTGTGTTTTGACAGATCCTGCTTTTGACTGTGTTGTCCCTGTATTACCAACTAAATCTGCTCTCCATGGAGGGGTCCTCATACCTGATTCACCCCAGTGTGGGAACAATGAGAAGGCCAACTTAATATCTGACTGACCAAAGAACAGTGCTACCATTAAAAGCATTTATTGTAAGGTGCGGTAAAAACTGTAAAGTTGTTACATGACCAAATGAGTTCTCTCTTGAATGCAGCGTATGGACTGTACTTATATAGCGCTTTATCCAGTCTTTAAGACCCCTCAAAGCGCTTTACATACTACATGTCATTCACCCATTCACACCCATTCATACAGAGCAGTGTACCTTACTCTAGGACCTAACATTCACACACATTCACACACCGTTGCCCATGCCATCGGGAGCAACTCAGGGTTAAGTATCTTGCCCAAGGATACATCGACATGTTGACTGCATGGGCTGGAATCGAACCCACAACCTTCTGGTTGAAAGACGACCACACTCCCTCACAGCCACAGTCGCCCGTATGATATGTATGTTACTGGATATTTGCTGGTTATTATGCTTGATAGTGGCTATGTATGTTTTCTAATTTATGTCTGTTGTGGTGAAAGTTAAACTTGTATATTGTCGTTTTTTTTACACCTAATATATTCATTCAGCTTGCAGCTAAACAGTCATTTCATAACTATATTTATATTTTCAATAAAGAAATGCAAAACATGAAAGAAAAACTGCACATTTCTTTAACAAAAAGCAATCACCTTACATTCAACAGGTTTTTTTTGACCAACTACTGATACTGTTCTGTGGTTCAAGGGATTTTCATTTCTTAATAGCCCCATTTGTACATACAGACATTACAAAACCTCTAATTCAACACACCTACCAATTTGAGGATGCAAACATATTATTATGAAACATCCAAGAAATAATAATAATAAAAAAAGACCTTGTTTTTTCCCCCACTAATATTCGCTGCACCTTATCCCTTTCTTAAAACAACTTTTTTTGTAGTAAACTGATTTGGACTATTGATTCTGGGTCCATTACATAAAACCCATATGAAAATCTATTTAAATGACAGGTCTCAGGGGTTGAATACTTTTGCAAGGCGCGGTAACCATTTCCAAGAACTTAGTTTTTACTGTGGCGCCAACACCACTTTGTTTGCAAACTTGTTCAGACACGTAATGTGGTGGAATCCTTTTTTTTTAGCACAACTCTACTTCCTTAATCCTTTGCATATATTTCAGAATTCGGCTGGGATAAGCATATTATTCCTATGAACCAAAAGGAAATATATAATGACAGCATTTTTTTTATAAGGAAGCTCATTAAGCATCACAAGTTGGATTAATCAATACTTACCAGGAAGAAAAATGTAATTATTAACCTAACCAGAGTATCACAATGTCAAGTAATGTCACCTGATTACTTTCCGATACATCTGGATTATCCCAATAGCAAATTCTTCTAAACGTCAGCTAAAAACAAAATTTTTTTGATAACCTTTTAACCAGCAACACCCCACTTTAATTGGTCTTTTAAATCATTTTTATTCCACTTATTTTTTTACATTGTTTTATTTATTTTATCATTAGCCATAATCCTGTTACATGTGATCCGTTACTCCCCAAGCCTTAACAAAGGAAATGCTTATATCTCTTATATATCATCCGGTCATAGTCTCTCTCGCTATCAATTTCCTGTGCAACATCCTGCTGCATACGGGAATGATTTCCTCTTGTTTTTCATAATCAAATGAAGTTGCTTAAAACAGAACAGGACATAGTACCAGAACAGAGGCTTCTCTGTGCACACACACTGTACCCAGAGGGCCTGCAGGTGAGCAGTAGTACACAATCCAACCATGTGATAGGGATTTAACACATGAGGAACTTGTTTTCTGTAAAACTCTGAATGGATCAGTGTGTTTTGGTCCGGGACGTGCTGGCAAACATTTCCTTGTTAGATTTGCTTTCAAATGCCCAGCAAGCAAGTGCCTAAAACCAGGTGAGTCATCAAAACAAGAGAATAATGTCCTCTCTGCTTCCTTATAACGTTCCCGCATGAATCATAAAACATGTCTAGTACGAGTGACCTTAACCTAGTATTATATCAGTGTGTAATTATTAATGCTAACATAGTCATGGTGGTGATATAATTGAATCAGCTGATTATAGTCAACAGCATAGTTCATGGTGACTGTGCAACAAAATCCACAGCAGGTATAAGGTGGTGAACAAGTTGTTTCCACCTTTGACCAATTACGTAATCCCCTCTAAATTTGAATGCCTTAATTGAAGATCAACATGCTTCTTTACATATTGCCTGGAATAAACTGGTGGAAAATAATAGGGTTTAAAAGTGGATTATATTCGAATATATTGGGTCTACAAATGTATTGAAACATTCATTTGAATTTAATTTGAGTTTTTGGTTATAATCATTTGTAATATTGGTAGAGGGAGGCAGTACTTACCCAAGTAAGGATTTGACCCCGAGGGTGGCCGGTTCAAGTCCCCGAACAGACCGAAGTAGGCAGTTTGGACCTGGAGTTGACCTCCTGGGCACTGCCATGCTGCAAGGTGTCCTTGAGCAAGTGTCCTTGAGCAAGGCAATGCTCCTTAAGTTAAAGGCAGAGGTCAATTTTCGCTGTGTGTTGTGTACGTGATAAATAAAAAGGGTTAAATGCATTTAATTAGAATCCTCCCTTTCTGTATGTGAATTCATGATTAAATCAATTCTGATAAATGTGCTGGTATTTAGATTGTGTATATATATATATATATTCTCTGATCTGTTTGCATAATTCTTAGTGTGTTTCTGGATGTGTTATTTATTACCTGCCCAGGGGCTGCTGATGGAAATTAGCGTATAACTAAATCTGTCAAAAATCTTCTCATGTCCTGTAGCAAACAATACAATAATGAAATAAAAAGCAAAAGGAAGAAAATAAAAAAAGAGAAATAAAGCAATACAAGAATGAAAGAAAAAGTGAAACAAAGAAAGCAGCAAAAACAGGAATGATAGGAAGTGATGCAGGAAAGACGGACCAAAAGGGAACTTTATTCTGATGAACAAATGACCTAACTAAAAGGAATATTATCAGGGATAACACATTCAAAAGCATCGTTGCACGGAGTGAATTTGAAAGGCAATCATTGTGCATTGTCTGCAGTCTGACTCAGTGATGATGGGTGATTCTGCTTTGAATGGAAACCTCTACATGTATGCAATCATATTTTATTATCAGTTCTGAATAAAGAGCAGTGAGGGGGGTTTCCAGCTAAAGAGACCTAAATGTGACCTGTAACCCGGGTGTAACATCATGCATCATGTGACCACAAAATAACTGTAACTTGTCTCAAAATCTCCCTTAATCTGGCAGCAGACGTGACATCATTGTTTATCAATCTGTAACAAAGGATTGGAAATTTGACCCAAAAGAAGCACTGTGTGGGGCCGCACAAAGTTCATGTTTTGGGGCTAGGTCCCCATGCAGAGGACCTGGGTTTGAGCCTGTTCTGGGACCATTTGCCACGTGGCGTCCCCTCTCTATCCCCCCTTCAATGCTGTCAGTTAAAAAGGGCACTACTAGTGGCCCAAAAAATACAAAAAAAGAAAGAAAGAAAAAGCACTGTGCAGCTGGTCGTATTTTGTGTTCAAGATAATGTTTTCAAGCCACATATAAGGAAAATATCCATATTTACTCAATTTTGATGATAAGTGTGTATTATATGTCCAAGTGTGGACATGGTAGCACTTACAAGTCAATTGTTAGGCAATAATGTATTATTTAAAATCAATCTTCAGTTAATGATCTCCCCAAAAATTACAACAATATCTAAGAATATAATTTGTATAACTCCAACAATTGTTATTCATTTACAGCAATTATAAATATTGTAAAAGCATTAAACAGTTTCTGTTAAACACATAGTTAACAGTGCCATCTTCAGGACAGGTTTTACAGGACATTCTTGTCATGGCTTACAGTTAACCTAATATTGTTTTCAATCAATATATTATTAGGCAAATAACTGGACAATTAATAGGCCACCAACTGCAAAATATGGTGTTTGTTGATTCATATTGGTAGCTTTGTTTTTTTTTGTCATGCCCTTATGATAAATAGGGTAATACATGTATGTTTAATTGACACATGTGCAAAGGCCAATGCTTGTCTGATGAAGAGGATTGCTGTAGGATGAGGATTGTGCTTCGTTATGCCTTTCTTAGAATACCTACAGCTTTAATGACATCATTTATACTTTTATAGAATTTTTTATTAATGCATTTGTGTATGGTTCACTTCATAATTTCCCCAGCCTGGATACCTTCAACACTGCCTGACAGTGTTTGTAGGCTACATTTTAAACATGCTAATGTCTTCTTCTATTCCAAAGGCCTTTCTCACAGCAGCCATTTTGCCTAATCAAAGGAAGACCAGCACAGGTGTTCCTTATAATCCTAACGATGGCTCTATGCTTTTCAAGTGGGTGTCAGAGATAAGGCATCCACCAAAACAGCAAAGCTTCCAAAAATAATAAGTTCGTTTTAAAAGAAGGATATGAAAACAAACTTTTTTCCCGAAGTCAGAGCTGAATACGACAGCTGCTAAAGCTAGCAACAGCATGCTAACTGAAAATCACTGGGGATGCTGAAGCTGCAAAAGGAAGTTCTGGAGCCAGAGCTAATTGCTACAACTGTCAATGCATCACTGCACAAGTTTCCCATGGACAAAGGACATTTTAAAGAGAAAATGGATGCCTAATATTGTGTCAAACTAAGTTACTTGTATTAAGTAGCAACTGTGTCACTGCAAGTCTAACAATTCCAGTGACTGTTACATCTGCCAAACAATCTTTTCCAAAGTAAGGCTACATCTTACCTCAGGAGCTCAATGGGAGGGACTATTATCTGGACCTGCCATCCATGGAAAAGAGCCACACCTGCCAGCTGTATTGGAAAGTGCCCCTATGGTGCAGGTAGGACTCATTTATAATTGTTTGGACTAATAATTGAGTCACCAGTGTTGGGGAAGCTACTTTGAAAGCATTGCTCTGCAAGCTACCAAATGTAATTAGGTTGACAAAGCTACACTAGGCAAACATATAATTTAGTTTGGTTAACTTAAGCTACTCAGTAGTTCAACCTACTTGAGGCAGAAAAAAAAAAATACGTAGCCTATGGCACTTTTCGTCAGTTTGTCCCATGTTAACAGCTAAAACCGTCTTTAGTTTGTACCTTTTAAGACAGAATGAACAGCTTAACCACTGGTCTGAAGAGTTTGACTTTATTTTCGCTT